ACTCACAGAGATCCACCTGCCTCTGTCTCCCAAGTGCTGGGGTTAAAGGCACGTTGTTATGGAATAATCTTTTGGTACACTGTGAAGTTGTGTCTTTGTCAAGGCGCTTTCTGACTGGTTTAATAAAAGAACTGACTGGCCAGTAGCTAGGCAGGAGGTATAGGCAGGAAAGCAAGACACAGAGGACTCTGTGAAGAAGGGCAGAGTCTTGGGAGTCATGAGCAAATGCAGAGGGAAGCAAGATGAAAGAAGGTACCACTATGATGCAGAGGGTAGATAGTAAAAGGATTAATTTAAGTCATATGAGCTAGCTAAACACAACTCTAAGCTATCAGCCAAGCATTTATAACTAATAATGAGTCTTTGTGTAGTTATTTGAGAACTGGCTATCGGGATAGAAAAGTCTGTCTATAGTGTGCATCACCATACCTGGCCACTATTTTAAATTTTTATTTTTAATTATGCGTATATGTATGTATGTGGGTCCCCTGGAGCAAGTGATTGTGAGCTGCCCAGTGTGAGAGCTGGGAACTGAACCTCTGTCCTCTGAAAGTGCTTTTAACGACTGAGCCACCACTCTAGCCCCAACAACTCATTTGTAATCTTGTTCCTGCCAAAGCTACATGGCATGAACTGAAGAAACAGGTCATTCAAAACTGAGGGACAGGAAATAAAATAACTGGCTTGCCATCTTTAAAAGCCAGCTAGAAGAATCAGCAGGTAAGGGTACTTGCAGTGCAAACTTTAGCATTTGAGTTCAATACCTGGAGCCCACAGTAGAAGGAGAGAAATGACTCCCAAATGTTGCCCTGTGACCTCCATGTGTACCCTGTGGCATGGGCATGCCAGTGCTCACACACACGCTTCATAGACTTACAGTAATAATTTTAAATATAAAATAAAACTGTCTGGATTTGCAGGACAATCAGCAGTGCTCCAACAGAGTCTCAAGATAAGCTTGGGGGGGGTTCTTGTTATGTAGCCCTAGTTGGGCAGGAACCCCTATATAGAGACCAGGCTGACCTCAAACATGTGGTCCTCTTGCTTCTTCATGCATCACCACACTCAGCCTTAGTTTTAATTTCTTTTGAGGCATACCCAGCGTATCCTGGAACTCAATTATGTAGCCCAGGCTAGCCTCAAACCTGAGATCTTCCATATCTGGTCTCCCAGATACGAGCCACCATGCCTGGCTCATTTCTCCACGTGTAAATATGGGGAAGGGGAATGAATGGCCCTTTCAGCAAGAAAATAACCACCCACCCACGGTTGGTGTGAAAGACGGTAGTGCACTGCCCTCCTTCTGTCACTTGACCATGTCACTTATCACACACACAGCTCTCCAGGCGGAAATGCCAACCCTCCAGTGCCAACACCTTTCTCCGCTTAAGACCATGCCACTCATGCGCACAGACTTCAGGGCTCTCCAGAAACCGAAGCAGCCGGCAGGCTCAACTCTCAGCCAAGGCCTGGAGAGAGCCTATGCAGGGTACCGGCAGATCCCTTACCTTGCCCAGGAGGTCCTCCAGGCTGTGAGCCATGATGCCTTTGCGAACCTTCCGATCTGCCGTGCTAACTCGACAGGGCCTCGCCCTGGGGACTTCCCGGCTGGGCTTAGACACCAGCTGTTGGGTCACCACTGCAGTGCTCACTGCTACATGCCTGGGGACAACAGTTTGTACAGCAGATGACCTGCCTGCGGCTACCAGGTCTGCCCATGCCTGCCTGCTTGCTGAGTTCAGGTGTGACCTTTCCTTCCAACCAATCATGGCTGCTTCAGGCGGCTTTCACAAAGTCCATCAGAAGACACAGCTCCGATTTGGAGGGGCAGGGAAATCAGCGGGAATCTTGCTTAAATCAGACTCACTTCAGTGCCTCTGAGTGGAGCCCAAGGGACTGCTAACAAGTCCCCAAGCTGTGTCAGTGTGGCTGGGTCTTTGGCCAGCA